TATCCATCCCACCTCACAGGTGTGCCACATCAGGATGCTGATCTGACATCATGAGTAGTGCACAGGTGTACCTCAGACTGCCCACAACAAAAGGCCACCCTGGAATGTGCAGTTTTTTGCGCTATTGGGGGTCTGGGGACCCAGAACCGGTCAGTATCTGGTGTGACCACCATTTGCCTCATGCAGTGCAACACATTGTCGCATGGAGTCTATCAGATTGTCAATTGTGGCCTGTGGAATGTTGGTCCACTCCACTTCAATGGCTGTGCGAGGTTGTTGGATATTCGTGGGAACTGGTACACGCTGTCGTATACGCCGGTCAAGCACATCCCGAACATGCTCAATGGGTGACATGTCCGGTGAGTATGCTGGCCATGCAAGAACTGGGACATTCTCAGCTGCCATCTGCCCTGAACAATGTGAACCATGATTCATCCGTGAAGCGCACACCTCTCCAACGTGCCAGACGCCATCGAATGTGAGCATTTGCCCACACAAGTCTGTTACGGCGACGAGCTGGAGTCAGGTCAAGACCCCGATGAGGACGACGGGCATGCAGTTGAGCGTCCCTGAGACGGTTTCTGACAGTTTGTGCAGAAATTGTTTGGTTGTGCAAACCAATTGTTCCAGCAGCTGTCTGGGTGGCTGGTCTCAGACGATCTTGGAGGTGAACCTGCTGGATGTGGAGGTCCTGGGCTGGTGTGGTTACACGAGGTCTGCGGTTGTGAGGCCGGTTGGATGTGCTGCCATATTCTCTGAAACGCCTGTGGAGACGGCTTATGGTTGAGAAATGAACATTCAATGCACGGGCGACAGATCTGGTTGACATTCCTGCTGTCAGCATGCCAATTGCACGCTCCCTCATTGCTTGTGGCATCTGTGGCATTTTGCTGTGAGACAAAACTGCACATTCCAGGGTGGCCTTTTGTTGTGGGCAGTCTGAGGTACACCTGTGCACTACTCATGATGTCAGATCAGCATCCTGATGTGGCACACCTGTGAGGTGGGATGGATTATCTCAATATAGCAGATGTGCCCACTACCACACATTTGGACTGATTTGTGACCACTGTTTGGGAGGGATGGTTATATTGTGTATCTGGAATGAATTTTAGGTCTCTACGTCCATCCCATGGGGAATGGGAGCAGTAACAAAGGTGTTGCGTTTATATTTTTGTTGAGTGTAACTTCATTTGATTGGATCCTGTTAGAAAAGTTAATCATTTCCCAACTCCACAATCCACAATTCAGTTTGGCAAAAAATTGCACCATCATGTTCAAAGTGAATAAGAGGTGAGAGAGTGCTGAAACCTGAACTGCAAAGGTTTGAAACCTCTATATTGGGATCCACACAGTGTTCATAACACATCTACGCTTTGTTTATGTACATTTCTCAAGGACTGTTAGCACATTTGTTGTGTATATTTTATTTTAATGCAAACCCTTTCAAGGAAGGGTTTTCCTCCTGTGGTCTCAATACAAACTCAACATGTGTTGTGTAATTTTGGTAATTCAGACTTATAAAATTAGCTTGGCTAGGTGCCTTTTTGTATGCCATGATACTGATGGCAAACTTCAAATCCACAGGATCTCCCAAGCTGTGCTGCAGTTGCACTTTACTCAGCACAGCACCAGACCATCGTTGCAAGGTGGAAACCACTGAAAATAACGTTTCAAATCACAGCCCATGTGAAAGCACCTTACAGATGGGTGAACTGACAATACCTTAAGTGTGCAGTAAAAGCTTTCCAAGAAGTGTTAAACTTCTTTACCCTGACTCCTAGAACAGCACTCTTTCTTCTATTTGTGACCTCCTGATTTTCACACTTTGCTTCAGGTTTTTCCTTGCCTGCATAATGAAAGGCACACTTCAGCAGTGTAGACTGGCACTGGGTCTCCCTTCATGTGGCTTGAAACTTGTGAGAGGGGCTCACAGAAGCAGAGGAAAGCTCTGGAGGTGGGGAAGGAAGCAAAGGAGTCGGTGGCTGATGTTATATTCATAGATTCATGAATACTAAAAGAGCCAGAAGTGTTGAGTTACTTGTGTAAATGAGGACAAAAACTCTAAATATGTAATTCTGATGAACAGAAATTAGTTTTAAGAGATTAATCAATGTCAAGAGAGGGAGTTTTAACTCGAGTGTCCAAGCTGTTTTATCAAACATGTACATTATAGCCTGCTAAAAGTCTATAATTCAAATTTTGTAGATATAAATGAGATGTTGTTGAAATTATACAAAAAAAAAAAGGAAAAAACAATGTTTTTGTGAGCTGTTGTAGATGCATAAAGGCAATAAGAAGGCAGTTGCTGGGTGATTACCAGGCAATGTGATTGCATCATAATATACCATGCATAATTCAGCTTTTGTTAATTAAAAATTAGGTTTCCTCAGCAGGAAATGGATAGGTGTCCACTCCAGGTCAGGGATGAGCTGCTCCCCCAAGCAAAGGAGTTTAAATATCTAAGGGTCTTGTTCAAGAGGGGAGAGGGAAACTGGAGCTTTACAGACAGATTGATGTTTCAGGAGTGTCACCAGGAGGGGACAGCTGAGGACAAGTGAAGCTGTAGATTTAGATGGATGGAGGGTGTTATTGTCATAAGATAAACTTTCTTTATAAGGCATTATAGATGTATAAAAGGTAAACACAGGTCATTTTAATCCATTGCTAGATTGTTGCTAGGGAATACGATGACATAATATCTGATATAGATTAGAACCTTCAGGGGACTAAAATGTACTTGTGTGACAAGTTTTGTTGCTCAACTCCTCAAAAAAGCATCATTGTTATTTTGAGGATTACATTTTTCCTTCAAGGCTTCCACAGCAATAAATCTTCACTCTCTCAGCAAACATGGGTGAAACATCGACATTATCTCCCCAGTGGGTGTGGTGTGACAGCAGAAAGTGCTCTGTAGTAGGACAGATGGCTGCACAAAGCTTCAGTCAGACTGGCTCCTCAAAGAGAAAACTATCTGTTGGATTAATGAAGTGGAGAAATTAAATGCATGCCTTTCTTTTCTTTTTGTTTCAATATGATATTTGATTGACAAGTTATTTGAATATTAAATGGCTATGATCAGACATTGAAGCTATGTCTAGCTTCATGTTAATCCTTTCGTATTTGTTGCATTGCTTCTTTGCTCATAAATCTGATCATTAAAAACCTGTTATGTTGTTCCGTGTTTAAGATGAGAAATGGACTTCAGAGCAGGAGATTGTAGTTTGAAGTCTAAAGCTTTTTTTTTTTTAATATATATATATTCTTAATCCCATCACAGTTAAGAATATTTAATTTGACTCCATAATTTTATTGTATTTCACATGACTGTATAATTTTTTTTTTCAGAGCCAGTGTTCTTCCCAGTCTTCCCAGAAGCAAACTCCTCAGTCTTGTATCATTAATGAGAATTCGGCAGCTAGGTTTTCAGCTCTTCTTTCCAATCTGCCCATATCAACACCTAATTTTATTTTATTTTTTTAATTTAGTGATTTAGTTCATTGGTTTGTTAGTGTATGATCATCAGTTCTCAATAGCATAGTTCTGATAAAAGCCCAACAGATTAGATTCATTGCCATAGAAGACAATGGAAAAGTCTTGATCCTTTTCATCTGATCAACTGTCTCATCAAGTTTTAGTTTCCAAGTTTTATCTGATTTCCAAGATCTCCTTAAAATATAGTCTCCCACATAGGTACTTCTTCCTTCCAAGCTGACGTCCCTCCTAAATTTATTAATGATGTTCTGCCAGTCATCTTTCCTCGTCTAAAATAAATCATTTCCTTTCATCTGGCTGCATTCCATATTACTGCAAAACATTGTCTTCCCTCTGCTTAAAAACACTCTCTAGATCCCAATTACAGAACCATTTCTAAACTTGCATTCAATTAAAAAATTCTTGATAGACCTGTCAGGGAAACAAAATCTTTGATAAATTCAAGTCTGGTTACTAATGAAACCACAGCACTGAAACAGTATTATTAAAAAATTGCTAATGATATTATTTTGAACCCAGATAAGGGTGAATATTCCATTTTAGTCCTCTAGGACTTATCTTCAGTTTTAGACACCACTGACAGATCTAGACAGATTAACAGCGGGTTTGGTATCTCTGGAACTGCTCTCAAATGGGTTTATACTCAGAGATGTTGAATAGAGAGTCGCATCTTCTCCGTTCATAAAAATGGACCAATTTTTTAAAAAAAAAAATCTTTTTAAGGGCAATGGTGTATCATAGTGTCTCGCAATTGTTCCTGAAAGTTAGCAACATACACTAGCTGGGGATGCACTTTTAAGAAAGTAAGAAGTTAAAAAACTAGACAGTAAGGTATTACCATGCAGCAATCACTTTCAGCTGTGGAGTAAAACATGTTCGTTGATTTTTTTTCATAAAGTGTTATTAATCCCAAAGGAAATTCATACATTATGTGATCGGCTGCTCCCACAGATGATCACTCTATAAAAACATGAATTTGAAGATGAATTAATTTGTAGATTTTGGACATATGACCAGTTGACAATAAGGCATCAAACACATAATATTAACCAGGAACAAATTTTTTTTATAATTTTATCCTAATGTTATGAAATTAGAAAAGCAACTTTTGCTGGTTGAATGAAATATAACATTACGGCCTGTAGGTTTGTGGCCCGTTTAAACATATTTATCCACTGCTGTAATAAAATGATAAGTGCACAACAATAAGGTAAATGGCTAGCTGTTTTTGTGATTAAGATTCAAAGAGCATATTTGTGAATTTTTGTAACTTGTGTTTTTTTTTGTGTGTGAATATTTCATGTTTAAACTGTTAAGTGAGAAATGTATTTTCTAAACAAACCTCATGCTGGTCCACCGAATCATTCTGATGTCAGCTAACAGTACAGAGAGTCACATGACAATCGCATCCTTTCTTTTGAAAGTCTTAAATTCATTTGTCATTAAGATTATTTTCAGTCTGAGTTATTGTGGAATTACTGACAACACAATGAAGAAAATCTGACAGATAAACAAAAATTATAATAATTTAAAAATCTATATTCCATTAATAATAACAAAAAATACTAAGTTGCAACTGGGGTTGGTTAGCATACAATGTTGGAAAATTAAATTAACAACAGCAGCTTTGACTGTGATACACAAACTTAAATACAGTATGTCACGAAGGCAGGCACTGTAAGGTTTTCTGTTACCACTTTGTATAATTATATTATGTATACATTTTTACTCTGAAGTCTATATGAACAACATGTCGAGCCTGCATTCTGGGTCCCCACTGATGTGACTCGCCATTCAAAGGCTCTGATCATACTCAGTTAAAAGATCCATCAGAATTCTTATTAATAACTACATTGTCCTCATCTGTGCCCCCCATGTGAGGGGTACGTCAGGGCTCAATTCTTGATCCAGTTCTGTTTTCTTTATACATATTACCCTGGATCATCTACTAAACTGCTTCAAGGGCTTCTCCTATTGCTATGCTGACGATGCACAGCTGTACTTTTGTACATATGTAACAACCTCAACACCTTCTCCTACCTTGGTGAAAGCTTTATCGCTATTGATGAGTCAATATCTTCATATTTGCTCCAGAAAATCTCATAATTGGTGGAGATGGTGTTAAAGTTTAACCACTCACACAGTTTTCTCTTTCTCCAGATCCATGCAATGCTGGAGTCAATCTCCTGCAGTTTCACAAAATGGAACAAACACATGATGGACACCAGAGATTACCAGGTGTCCTTCACCTTCGGGCCATGTGACCACCAACAGGAGGTCAGCCTGCGTGTCCACCTCCTCGACTTCATCTCCAAATCTGTGAGTCCATTTTATTTTAGCTCACCGCTAGCATTGTGTGTAGAAATAAATTATCTTAAAAACCAAATATAGTCAATAATATAATTGGATTTAATGTGGTGCTATAACTTTGTGTCCATCTTCATGTTTCAGGGGTTTACGATACGCAACACACGTGTTCATCACATGAGCGAACGGGCTAATGAGAACACAGTGGAACATCACTGGACATTCTGCCGCCGAGCTCGAAAAGTCGATGAGTGATGGATGAAACAAAGGATTGATTTACATTACAGATATTTAATGTGCCATCAGGCACCGACAGAAACTTCTTTGTTTGTTGTTTTGTGAAAACATTGTATGTTTTGTGTTTTTGAGTTAATCCACTCAAAGTTAAAGTACAAAGTGAGGCCACTGACATCATGAGAACTTCAACAAATACTACTACTGCTTTAAAACAAACACCCAATGGACAAACGTTTACAGACAGACTTCAAGCATGTGGAATCTGTCTGTGTTTGACCCTCAAGCACCTTTTGAGATGAGCTGGATCTATGAATGTCTGCTTATCACGTCACTTCCTCAGTGTTGGACTTCGCTAATCTGGAGTAAACCAACAGATTGAAAATGATTATAGTTGATTGATTATAATATTCATGGTTTTAAATGCAGGTGTTCAGTTATCAAATACCTTGAATGCTTCATCATACCTTTCAGTACATTGTGAGTGTTGGATACAGTTTTGGCACGTCAGTGGGGTCGAAAATTGGTTGTCTGCCAGTCATTGTTCACTACAAATAAAAAAATTTTTTTTAAAAAAGGTTAGTTTTGTGTTATTAAAATTGGTCAGAATTAGGTTTTAGGGGTGTTTTTGTTTTGTTTTTGTTTGTTTTTTTTGGGGGGGGGGTCTAAACTTTGAATTTGAACAAAATGACAACTAAAAGAGTTTAAAATGACACAAGCCAATATTTTATCCACAACAGAACATAAATTCTATAACAAATGTTTAAACTGAGAAGTTTTACAATCTTATGCACAAAATTACCTCATTTCAAATTTGATGCTTGCTACTGGTCTCAAAATTGGGGCAGGGGCATGTTTACCATGGTGTAGCATCTCCTCTTCTATTCAAAACTCCTTGAAGATGTCTGGGCATAGAGGTTATAAGTCTGGAGATTTGGTGTTGGAATTCCCATTCTTGCCTGATATAGGTTTCCAGCTGCTGAAGAGTTTGTGGTTGTCTTTAACGTATTTTTCGTTTAATGATGTGCCATATTTTCTCTATAGGGAAACCTTTATATACTTTTCAGCATTCATAATTCCTTCCAAAAAATGCAAGCTGCCCATACTGTATGCACTTATGTACCCCAATATCATCAGAGAATCTACCTTTTGAACTGAATGCTGGTAACATGCTGGAAGGTCTCCCTCTTTAACCCAGAGGACACGGTGCTGGTGATTAATTTAATTTTCTACTTAGTTCAAATTCTTTTTTTTCTTTTTTTTAATATATCGTGCAACAGTGGTTGCCTCCAGGTGCTTTACAATAATACAAAGAGAACAGGAAAGACCGCAGCAATCATATAAACAACCCTATGAGCAAGTGCTTTGGTACCATGCAAAGGAAAAACTCCCTTTTAACAGAAAGAAACCTCCAGCAGAACCAGGTTCAGGGAGGGGCACCCATCTCCCATTACTGGTTTGGGGTGAGGGGAGGAAGAAAGGACAAACACGTGATGTGGATGAGAGCCAGAGATTAATAACAACTAATGATTAAATGCAGAGAGGTATAAACACATGGTGAGTGAAAAAGGTGACTGAAGAAGAAACAGTCAGTGCAGCATAAGGGAGGATTAAAGGTCACCTGATCCAACCCTAAGTATATGCTTTATCAAAAACAAACATTTAAGCCTGATCTTAAAAGTAGGGAAGTAGGGTTGGACCTTAAAAGCAGGGGCCTTATTATTCAAGACCTCATATATGAGGAGCAGGATTTTAAAATCGATTTTGGATTTAATAGGGAGCCAATGAAGGGAAGCGAATACGGGGTGAGATGTGCGCTCTCTTTCTAGTCCTGGTCATTACTCTGGTTGCAGTATTTTAGATCAACTGAAGGCTTTTCAGGGAGTAATAGGACATCCTGATAATTATGAATTACAGTTTTCCAACCATGACGCACCAGAGGCCCCCATGCGCTAGGGGTGGGCCCCCAGGCATGCACCTACCCACAACCCTGGCGACACACCAACCAGGACCCAAGCCACCAAGGCCCAGCCAGAACCCCAGCCCGGAGGCGGAGCATCCCTAGAACCCCAAGTCACCAAACCCGTCCCGGACCCATGGCCGGTAACCTACGTCCGCCGACACAGACCCTCCCCCAGCTGCCAGAAAAATACCACCCAAGAGCGACCAGAGCCCCATCCAGGTCATGACCACAGCCCCCGGGTTGAACCCACCCAAAAAACTTGTCGCTAGGCAATCCCCAGACACTCTACGCCTTTACCCACCCCCCACATCAAGTATAATAATGAAGGTGGGACAAAAAGACAGAACAGATGTGGATGTTGCAGAGAGATCATTGTAATCTAAATATAAAGCCCACTGTTTTTTTAAATATTTAATAAAATCTTCATCTGTAAGCAATGATGTATCAAATCTCCAGTTTTTACTTGGCGGAATGATCTTCTTATGTATTAAAATTAAAGATACAGAAGCATGATTGCTGACAACTATAGGGTGTATTTCAGTGTCAGTGAGCTGTTGACTAGGAAATAATCCAGACAAGAGTATGAGTGATGGACATGTGAGGGGGAAAAAAGTATATTCCTTACGGTTGAGTTGAAGGGAACGCCATGCTTTGCAAAATCCAAAATCGCTCATGTCCTCTTTAATTATATTTGTGGACTGCAAATTATGCTGTCCTCCCCGCTGTCCTTCAGGGTGTTGGAGATGATTAAGCAGATGTGGTTAGTTATTTGTCAGTTGTTTAGTATGTTTCGTATAACTGAAGCTTAAAAAAAAGGTTGGAGTCGAGGAACAGGGTACACCCTGGACGGGTCACCGGTCTATCACAGGGCTAACACAGAGAGACAGACAATATTATATGTTTGTCCTTGACATGTTAAACCACAATAAATAGCAATAGCATACATGTTGTGTGTGAATGCTTTACTGCCTCTTATAACCCCAGAGATTTTCCTGCACTTTGAAATCTTGTGTGATCTCGTGAATTTTGTCCAAGCAACTATCTACTCTTGCTAGATCTCAACAAGACATAGTGGAATGTGTTAAACCAGTGTTCTCCAACCTTTTTTGCGCCACGGACCGGTTTATGCCCGACAATATTTTCACGGACCGGCCTTTAAGGTGTC